CACCGCCACCGCCACCGCCACCGCCACCGCCACCGCCACCGTCGCCGTCACTGCCGCACGTTACCACTCGAAGGACCTCCCCATCGAAGAAGCAAAGAGTTGGCACGGACGGTCGACGGATGAACGAAAGAGCAGAGCACCGGCACGCGTATACATCACCCCTGAGAGAGATTAGGCGAGAAGGCCCCAAAAGACGCCGGGTTCGGTGGCGTTTCCGAATCTGGGTGCTTTACCTGATCCTAAGCAAACGGTTGGCGATCCGACATACACAGCATCCAGAGGGTTGGCAGGTATAAGACTTTTCGAGCCATTTTGTGCCCGATCGTCGTTCGTCTCTTTCTCCCACCAACCGACCTAATCGCTCGGTCGCACGCTCTCGAAGGGTGACACCCACCCTTCGAGAAGGGCCTTTCGGGAGGGGTGAATTTTCGTGGTGCGGTTCACATTGCCCTGCAGTCACAGTCAGCAACAGGATCGTCAACTAAACGTCACGGTGTTTGCCAGATGTAACGGACATTTTGATAAGTCTATAAGGAACACTCGACCTAACGCAAAACACAGATAAGGAGATAGCTTTCCAGATCAGTGCACGGAAGTAGTTGCAGAGAAATAGATGGTTACATTTCTTCGCTCGAATATCAGCTCCGATACGGTTCGCCGAACGTCGATTTCATGAGGGTGATGCGGTGATCAGTGACCGTTATCGAAACACCCCGGAAGGATCGCGCTTAAATCTCAGGACGATCTTATCAAGCGATTAGCATCGGGGTCATGCACATGACCCTGTGAGTGCGATTCGAGAAGGATCCGAGTTCGCGTCGACCAAGTATCAAGAACGTGAGTATCGCGAGAAGATGTTCGTTCAGTGATAGTGCACGGTGTTAGCCCTTGATCAACGATAAGAAACGACAAGAGCGGATTTGCACGCTGGGACATTCTGCGATTACGAGACACGCGAGACACACGCCGGAAGATGAGGCTCTGGATGGTTCTCACCGTGCTCTCGGTGACGGTGCACGCGTCGTTGGAGGAGATCACCAGGAACAAAAATCGCGGCAGGGGATCCACGTGGTGGTGAGTCTCAGGGAGCGAGCTTTGGTTGCTTAGAGTTTTATTTTAATACACCTTCAGTATATAGTCGAATTCCCGTCTCGTCCTGTCCTTTCTCTTCACAAATGCACGCTTGTAAATACACTGCGTCGTAAAATATTTTATCGCCGGCATTAGCGCGCGAAGTTTTTTGAAATAAATTATGGTTGCACTGAACGGTTAATAGACCTGTTGACAAAGTCATTGAATGGACTTAAATAATCGGAGGGACTGAAGAAGGACAATATATGTGTTAGAATTACATGCATATTTTATATTATAGAAATTTCCTTAATTTCTTATTATTTGTTGCATAAATTATCAATAAAAATATTGAATTTAATATATGTTAAAATAATTATTTTCAAGGAATGAAAATCTATAAAATACTCAATTTTCCTTGACAGAAAGTCTCATTTTCTCACTAATCCATTCAAATCACATTATTCATTTATATTATTCTTTTTGTTATAGCTAATGACAATACTTAATGGTTACGGACAATTTACATGATTCGAATTGAAATGCATGCACATTATACGTAAAGGGATAAACTTGACCTGGTATTTTTAATAAATAATAAGAAAAAATTTTCTTATGGTTCTATTACTGGATCTTGAAGACTCTTTCGCTCATAAACGCTAACGTCATAGCTAATGATTCAAGCGTTAATTAAGATCATTAATGCAATCGCTGAATCATCGGAAATAAAAATCGCATTGGAGGAATCAGTTCCACATTCCTGTCCTTGATCTTCGACCAGTTTGCATCAGTATGGAAATCGAAAGCTCTTTCGCTTGTTTTCGCTCTTCATCAACTGCTTTTATTGATTAATCTCTCGATAAAAAAAGATTGAGAATTTATTTGTCGACTTAAATAAAAAAATTCAATTATATGCACAGTAAAAATGAAAAGAAACGGTAGAAATATACGATGTTACTTTTTTACTTTGAACAATTCTGTAATAGAAGTAACAAAAAAATATCAGAAGGAATTTTATATAAAATACATACTTATTTAAAATATAAATATAATCTTTCAATTATATACAATAATCTCTCTCAATTCATCAAAGCCTTTTATAGAACTTTATATCTTTCTAAAAGTAATCAAAATTATACTTTAATCAAATATATATTTTAACATATAAAATACTTTTTCTACTTTACATCTATGCTTTCTTCTGCACACGTCTAACATTTCCCAGAGAAACGATAGCATGTACAGAAATACATCATGAAGAGATGTCTCGCAGGACCATTGTCGTTTCTCGCACTTTTTCCTTCACCGCTGTATTCGACGTAGTTTCCTCCAATTAAAATGTAATTCTCCGCATGAATCGAATTGACCTTCGTGCGTTAATTACTACGGCGTGCGCTCGTGCACGCACGCATTAACACCTGTCTGCCCCTGCATTTATCGCGCTAATCGCGGGAGCAACGTTGTTTACGCGCGTGACCACCATGTCGTTATTAATTCATTAATCATAATTCTAACTCCACGTTTCGATTCGCGATTTCTTGCACACGATATGTGTTAGATAATGACTAACTTCATTAGTCCGATCATAAATAACGCGATCGAGAGCTTGTGTTCGCATGCTATTCTGCGAGATAATTACGGCGAATATCCACCTATAACATAAATTGTCGACGATATATCAGCCATGAACTCATATATTTCCGCATAAACCTTGCACGATGGCTTGACAATTTGTTCGTTATCGCTAAATTAAATACATCGACACGATCCGACGGATCGCACGTTGCTCACGACGATCGAGTTAGTTCAAACTGTGACGTATTGTTCAGCATTACCAGCAATTAAATAGAAACATGTTTGTTCTCGATTTTGCCATAATTGTATATCGCGTGGAACTTGATGTTTCGATCAATGCCCTTCTGTGATTAATTTCAATTGAAGATTGTTAAGTGAAATATATGTCATTCGATCATTACTGAAGATACACGTTATTGAAACAGTAGAAAGCAAAATCTTGTAGTTCTTTAACAAGCAGAACTTGAAAATTTTTTACAACTATTTAATTTTAAAAATCTGTGGTAATAAATCAATAGTCCTTTTCTTCTTTAGATTCGCGATACGTTAATTGTAATTAGAAACATTAGTAATCAAAGATTAATAACGAATTTGGTTGAACGCATTGATGCATATTAAAACCATTATACACTAATTTAATCTGAATGTAAAATGCAATATTTTTTTATTATAAAATACATATTTTATCAAACAGCACAATAAAGTATATCAAAGATTATGCGGTTTAACTTGTTCCTATATTTATTAAAGACACATGTCCGACGGCATTAGTGCATTCAACTAAATTCGTTATAACAGCAGGTTAATTTAAAAGAAAGCAGCGTACATAAACAGATATTTTATACGAAAAAAAAAATGGTCAAATAGTATCACAGATTGAAAGATAGATAAATTATATTTGTTCCTATCAATATAAATTAACTTTAATCTTGATTTAATTTACTTTTTATCTTTTTCTGGTTCTAAGAATTAGAAAAGGATTAAATTAGAAAGAGTAAATTAAATCAAGATTTAATCCAAGATTAAACCAAGATTTAAGAAATAGACATTAGTAGTGTAAGAAGGAAAACATCGAGAATATCACGAATTTATCCATATCGGTTCGAGATATGTAGAAATCAATCGATTAGCAGGTACAACTAAGACGATCGGTAGATCGGCTAAGAGTCGATACACGTGATTCGGTTTACCATGCATTGTGGGTGGTCGTATCTAGTATTAATAGTGACGATTAACTGTAGACATGGATAATAATTACACCTTGTGACGACATAAAGTGCGCGCTTGCATGGAGATTTTCCGTATTTTTAAAATTCGTGCGAGCGTGGCAAATTATTACTTTTACTGTCGTTAATTAAACGCATTTTTCCATCTCCGCGAAGACATGTTCGAATTTTGTTATAAACGATATCCGTGATATTTTCATTGTTTGTTGGCGCGTATTGTCAGACAACATCGTTTCGCTGCCTTGAAAACAGATTGTATAAATAGTTATTGATAACAGGTTTTCCGTGAACATCAAAATTAAAATATATAAATTTCTCCTTTCTCAATGTTGACAGATCTTGAAGATTGTTTATCATTATATAAGGCATGTGATGCAAAATTTACTTTATGTAAATAAAATAAACGTATATATATATATTTTTAGAGTCTTCTTAAATGTATTAGGTGTTGGAATTAATTCGTAGCGTTTTACAAGTGATGGGAAGTACTTTCATTAATGTATTTTTTAATGCTCATGTGAAATAAATAACATTCTTTCATTAAAAAACGCTACGAATTAATTCCAACACCTAATACATTTTGACACAACAGGCCTAATTTATTGTATATTTGCATATGGAAAATAGAAATTTGTAATTTTTACAAATAACTTTTCTGTATTCACATATTTTTAAACGACTTGATGCGAACAGATCTAATTTATTGTGCAATTCATGTAAAAAAAAAGAAATTTGTAATTTTTACATATTATATTTAAATATAACTTGTCTTAAAGCGATCATCCATATTGTTAACAAGAGCGTGATAAGAACTCCATATCTTCATTAAACAAAGTGTTATGTCCTACAAATGAGATACTAAACGGGTTCAAAGCTTCGTTATTAATCATTCACATTTCATATTTCAAATGAATATCTTACGCGCAATCATGATTCTCTCCGATCATTACAATATTATCTATCGCGAACCGGTAATCTCAAGTGTGGTCGATTTATCGATGCGGTCCGCAGGAACAGGAATCAGGAGCGAGAAGTACACGATCGTGTCTCTTTTATTCACATGGGACCCAGTTTCCCAGCTTCTGGATCATTCCCATTGCTTTTAAACGTTTGCTAACGGTGATTGACTCATCGACATTTAATGTTTCCGATAACTCTATGAGCTTCTGACGTAAATCTTCTTGAAGTAATGCCTTCAATTCTTCATTTTCAAACTTTTTCGATTCACCAAGGTTCTTGTCATTCACGTTAAAATCGTTGTTTTTGAATCTTTTAAATTTGTGCAAGTTGTTTCAGATAGAACATGCTCGCCATAAGCCAGCAAACGATAACTTTCAGTAGCAGATTTCTTGAGATTAAAACAGAAAAGTAATGCTTCCCGCAAATGTTCTTTTTTTGGTACAAAATCCGACATTTTTGTTTAGTTTAGAAGTTCAGTTTAGAAGAAAACAACGTTAATAAAGAAGAAGTTAAGACAAGGAATTGCGTCATAAATATACTGCTAAATATGACTTCCGGTTAATTGACGCCACTCACTCTATAGATTGCCAATTTCCCGCGTGTCCAGAACATTTCCCGCGTGAATCAAATGACAGACTCGAGCGGGTTACGACTCGGTAAAAACGAAGCTCAAGTAAACGAGAAAATATGGCGTCTCTCGTCTGCTACGAACCAATACAGAAGTGATAAAGCCCTATCTAGAGTACAGCCTATTGACAATTTCCAGGTGAGAAAGATCGTCCTTTCATTCACTAATCATTGTCCCACTTCTGAAGTTGTAGGCGACGATGATTTAATGAAATAAGTATCTGCAAAAATCGTCATACACGACGTCGAATTATGGTACGATGTCACATAGAGTCAGAAACAAAAACAAAAACGGAAAAGATTCTGGGCCTATTCCTGAAAAGAAAAGCATACAAAAGACTAAGAGATATACTGTGGTATGTAACGTACACTATAGTATAGTTTTTCAGGTAATTATTCAGTTTATCCCTCCCACATTCAGTTTATCCCCCGTATCTCAAAAGCAATGAAATTATATTTTTTTTTTTTCAAGACTAGAGGCCCTAATCGATTAACTAGGTTCTTATTAAGTTAATCCATACCAATGGTCTCTTCCGTTTTTATTCCATTCCGCTATTTCTGATGCCACGTGATCGTACTCTTCATGTGCAGCGAAGCTTGTACGTAGATTGCGAT